AATTAAACAAAGATATCACAAAGACAGAAAATGTAAATCAACATCTCTTGTGACTATAGATGAAAAAATCCTCAACAAAATATTATAAGCAAACCAAAGAAAATGAAAAATGTATTTATGTACCATAACCAAGTAGGATTTAACCCAGGACTGTAAGTGGTTTCAATGTACAAGATCAATCAATGCAATACATTATATATTGGACAGAATAAAGTGGAGGGAAAAAAAAGATCACTCAATAGAACATACAAAAAATCTACAAAATATAAAAAAAAAAAAAAAAATAGGTATAGGCCGGGCGCTCGTGGCTCACGCCTGTAATCTAGCTCTTGGGAGCGCCGAGGCGGGTGGATTGCTCAAGGTCAGGAGTTTCAAACCAGCCTGAGCAAGAGGAGACCCGTCTCTACTATAAATAGAAAGAAATTAATGGCCATACTGATATATATATAAAAATTAGCCGGGGCATGGTGGCGCATGCCTGTAGTCCCAGCTACTCGGGAGGCTGAGGCAGGAGGATCGCTTGAGCCAGGAGTTTGAGGTTGCTGTGAAGCTAGGCTGACGCCACGCACTCACCTCTAGCCTGGGCAACAAGCGAGACTCTGTCTCAAAAAAAAAAAAAAAAAATAGGTATAGAAAGAATTTTCTCACACAAAAGGTCATGTACCAAAACCACAGCTGATGCCACAGATAACAGAAAAGACTAAATGCTCTCTCTCTAACATCAAGAATAAGCGAGGATGTCTGCTCTCTCTAATTCTATTCCACATTACACTAGAGGTTCAAGCCAGGGTAATTAGGCAAGGGGAGGAAAAGTCATTTAGTTTAGAAAGGATGAAAAAAAACATTCTATATGCAGATGACATGGCATTTATAAAGAAATCTAAAAAATTCCTTGAAAAAATGATTACTAATAAATGAGTTCTATGCTAATAAGCTATTAATAAATAGCTGAGAAAGGTTTGAAAGAAACAATATAAAAATCGATTATTTTTCATATACTTGCAATGAATAATATGACAATGAATAGGAAAACAATTTCATTTATAACAGAATCAAGATTCAGAAAGAATACTTAGGGAAAAATTTACAAAACAAGTGCAAATGTGTAAACTAGAATTACCAAAACTTGTATCTT